AACAACATTCATTTCTCACGACTCCCGTCGTCTCTGCTTCGGGAGTGGACGTTAGCACGTTGTGGCCATCACCCCTTTCAGGATGGCAGAATTGCCCGGCTCGCTCAAAGGGATGCTTCCGACTGCCTCCTTTGTGGTGCTCCCACTTGTACTCTGCTGCATGCCATTCGTGAGTGTCCGCTGTTTGATACTCAGCGCCACACTTGGGTGGAACGCTTAAGCTTGCGACGAGTGCCTCGGTTCGGTGATGCTGAGCTGCTGCGGTGGATTCTCGATCCTCACCTCGTGCCGAACAATCATTCCGCTGTGAATGCTCATGTACACTATGTGGCATCCATCTGTCAGATCGCGAGATCCCTGCGTGAAGGCTTGCAGATGCGATAGCATTGATTTCTACCTTGAGGCGATTGATCTTGCTCGTAACACTCATCTTTCTCTAGCAGTGGGTTTTGCCGGTCAATGCACCTGGCGTTCTTTTCTTGTGTACATACTGACCGTAAACGGTTGTTCAAGGACCGAACCTCCTCATCGAGCACGTGAGGGGCAGAGGGGCTGTCCGGTACGGTCGCCGGGGAAGCAGGGGAAGAAGGAGTGGACAGGGTGTGGCGCGACATAATATGGCCCGCGGTTCGAATATAGTTTGAATGTAGATACAGCGCGCGGCGTCGGCCGCCCAAACTCCGCACGGCTGCATTAGCACGCTGGGCAGGTCGGGAGTAAGTAGGCGTGAGAAATGAAAAAGGGCTACCCGGGTCGCCTGTCAAAGGCTCGGGCGGCAGGGACTGGAACCGCTCTTCAAATCAGCAGGCGCAGCAGGCAGCGCGGCTAGCCTCTTGCGGCTGCCTCGCGGGGCCGAGTCTGCAGCCGGGCTCAATGCGGGCTCGGGCCTGGACCCGTTTTATAACTGCGACTGCCCGCCGGTGCCACAGTGGACATTGGCCTCGTTTGCCACTTCACTTGCGTTGGAACCACTCCCAGGTGCCGCTGCTCGTGCCTGCAGTTCTTTCTGCACTAAGGTTTCTGGCCTCCTCCTGTGCAGACCTCTCTGCTGGAGGTGGCCCTTGTGCGCTCCTTTTGCCTGTAACCTTTTTTCCATGCACACGGTGCACCCCCAGCATCGCTCGTGCCCATCGCTGATTGCGGCTAGCAGCGCGGTGCAAGCCCGAGGGGTCACACTCAGGTGCGGCGTTTGGCGTTCCGATTCCAGCGCTCACCGCCGCGGTGCTGGGAGCGCTTGTCGCTGGCTATGGGCGGAGGCTTCGGTTGTGCGGCGCGCGGCCGCTCCGGCCGCGGAGGCGGCGAGGGAGGGCGGGGCCGGTGCTGCTCAGGCTCTGGCTGGGGGACGTCGCTCGGCGGCGATGCCTTCCCGCAGATTTGAGGTCGGCGACCCGCAGCAGCAAAAGTTCGCGGTCAAGAACTGCCGCGAATGTGACCTGTCCGATGGTGATGTTCATTCGCTGCATGCGCCGAGGCCACCTTACCCCTCCCGCCCAAACCGAACCTTGGAACCAAAAAACTGGGCCTTGAACCAAAATGGCCACTGAACTTGGACATGTGCGAACACATCACCTGTGATTGTCACTTTATTTCCATTTCGCAAGCCGCTGGCTTGACTATAAAAACAGCTGAACACAACAAATGGGAAAACCAACGTCACTGAAACAACCGTTGTTTACGATTATCCGCTTGTTGCAACGACGGCACTCTTTACACGAGCGATGACGTGGACAGTGCGCACCTGGAACAGGCATGCGAATTCATGCGAATGTTGAGAAAAGCAAAGAAAAGCAAAGGGAAGCGGGATCCCGACTCTGACAAGCACGTTTCACCGCTGTTTCCTTTATCTGTTGCGTTGTTCGTTTGTTGGCTACAGACCGATAGCTTAGTGCTCGCCTTGTTTTTTTTTCTGCGTTAGTTATTTACGTTTGCCCGTGAAGCGACCCGTCCGTGCCGTCCTTCGTCCACCGCCAACCATTGTTGCGCGCACGGATGCGCACGGTGGGTACGAGCCCTTATACTCAGGTTGCCAAGCACGCGTGCATTGCAAGTGATCTGGAACGACGCAACGAAAGAATAAGTTGTGTTGTTGCAGCTTTTTTTCAAGTACACGGAAAGAATGAGTGCATGTTTCTTCATGCTTTCATATCTTTGGAGTCGAAGTAAGCGGTTCAATGTCAATTCCGGACGGGCCGATGCTTACGCAAGAAAGATAGCATCTGAGCCGATTTTGAGGCAGAGCGGCGGAAGCCTGCGGATTCGTTCGAGTCGAGAGAAGATAGCACTGGAATTGAGCCTAGCATGTATGACTTTCATTGAACGTTTGATGGGTTGACGCGGTTCGAACTCGCGACAAAAGTTGCAGAGTCCCAGCAAAATCTCACGAATGGTAGCGAGCCAGATCCAACTGCAACGAGCAGCTTTTGATTTTATCGGCAAGGTGGCATGCAGAGGAAATGCGCGGCACATGTTTGGCATCCATTGGTTCATTCCGGGTTTTCGCAGTTCGAGCCATGGCCGACAATGCTTCCGAGTCATCGTTTGAATTGGTAGACGAACCACGCATGGGAACAAATCGTGCAGCTATTGCAGTTGTTTCGGCTGCTGGTTTTGGACTCGCCGCACTGTGGCTCTCCCGTCGCGAAGGTATGTGCTCCGAGGCTTTGCAAACAAAGGCAAACGCCTCGAAACCTGCAGATCCGGGCATCGTTGAAAAGAAAGTTGAGGACCAGGAGAACACCAGCAGTCCATTTCAGATGTTGTGGCTGGGTTCAAACTCATCCAGACCTATGGAGGCGGTGCTGTCACGGTTAAGTCAGTTGGGTCACCCGCTTGGTTCGGACAGTGCTCTTGACAAGAAAGAGCAAGTGGTCACCGGTTATCACGCCTGCGCATGTGGGTTTGCCGTTGGTCTGCTGACGGCAGGTTGCTTCAAGCGTGGTGCTGTTGTATTGCGCAGCTTCCGTTTCGGGGTGCACCAGAAGCTGGCAGGAACAGAATGCAAAATGGTTGAAAGTTTGGTGCAGGCGAGAGCCCAAGAGATGCTGCAGCGGAATTCATTCCTCGACTTCGCAAATCTTTTTGGGCACCTGCCACACCTAGATCCCTTCCTTGATGGACGTTCAGGTTCAAGCAAGTTCCTCCGGCAGATCAGGGGCTTGATGGAGCAGCGACAGAGGCAGATGGACAGTGACGTGGAGTGTGCTCATGCGGGAAGTTCAAAAATCTTCTTTGAGAAGGTGCACCTGCTTGCATCCATGGAGGCTGCTCTTTCAAAAGAAATCCCTCAGTTTGTGAGTGTCATGGAGAAGTGGGAAGATCAAACGCAGAAGACCTGCCATAAGCTGGAGCAGAATGTCAGTGTTGCACTTGAGGACGGAGACGGAGAGGTGGAGCATGCCTTTGCTAGCCTATACAGCTACGCACAAGATTCCTTGACTTTCGGCCCTGCTTGTCTGTCAAAAATCACCATGGGCACGGTGGAATCTGCTCTTGATAAGCTGTTGCAGCATTCCGAAAAACAGCTGCAGCAGCTGCACAGCCACCTGGATCGCTACCAGTTTGAAGCTGCCTCGAAGTGCATGCAACAGCTGCAGGCACTTCATGTCTTCTTTGAAGGCGGCTTCGCGGAGCAAGTTGCAAGACTCGAGCAGCGAAGCGGTTTGCCCTCGGAGAAAGTGCAACAGATCCAGGAGGTGCTGGCGAATGTGAGGCCAGAGTCTGTGCACAACCTGGGCGAGAAAGCTGAGGGCATGGTGGAGGCAAAAGCCACGGACTTGTTGGCGCGAAGCTCGTTCGACCAGTTTGCGGAATTGTTATGTCAGCTTCCACACCTGGAGCCGATTCTGCATGGACGTGGCGGTTCAAGCAAGCTCTGTGCAAAGCTATGCGGATTGGTGGAGCAGCAACAACAGCACTTGGAAAGTGCTGCGGCTGATGTGGAATGTGTGGATGGTGTGGATCCCCATGTGGGAAGTTCGGAAAGCTTTTTCCAAACACTGCACCTGCTTGCATCCATGGAGACTGCCCTCTCAGAACACGTGCCTGAACTTGTTAACGTGATGGAGAAGTGGGAGGATCAGACGCAGAAGATCTGCCACAAGCTGGAGCAGAATGTCAGGATTGCACTTGAGGACGGAGAAGGAAAGGTGGAACATGCCTTTGCTAGCCTACTCAGCTACGCACAAGATTCCTTGACTTTCGGCCCTGCTTGTCTGTCAAAAATCACCATGGGCACGGTGGAATCTGCTCTTGATAAGCTGTTGCAGCATTCCGAAAAACAGCTGCAGCAGCTGCACAGCCACCTGGATTGCTGTCAGTTGGAAGCTGCCTCGAAGTGCATGCAGCAGTTGCAGACACTTCAGGAGCAAGTTGCAAGACTCGAGCAGCGAAGCGGTTTGCCCTTGGAGAAAGTTCAACAGATCAAGGAGGTGCTGGCGAATGTGAGGCCAGAGTCTGTGCAAAAGCTCGGCGAGAAGGCTGAGGGCAGGGTGGAGGCAAGAGCCACGGACTTGTTGGAGCGAAATTTGTTCGACAAGTTTGCAGAATTGATTTGTCAGCTTCCGCACTTGGGAATGTTTCTGCATGGCCGTGATAATCCAAGCAAACTTCGGTCAAAGCTGCGCGAATTGGTGGTCAAGACACACAGCCAAGCTCACAAAAAAATTGAACAGTGTTGGGATACTGATGACGATGAGCAGTTGTTCCAACACTTGAGCCAGCTCGCATCCATCTCCAAGTCCAAGATCATTGTCGACCTTGACGTTGAGCTCCGCAGTGTGACTCGTGATTGGAAGCGTAAGCTGAAGGACAAAATGGACGATCACGGCTCTGTAGCCGAGGAGAGGCTCAAGAGCTGGGCAGAAGGCACAGCACGTCAGACGATTGTTGTGGAACTCACCAGGGAGCTGATCAATCTGGCCCGCATGCACTTGCTGCTTCATCACGAAGCCTTTCGGGAGGTTGCAGCAGATGCACGGAAGTTGCTGGTTGCACTGTTGGATATGTGCGCAGGCTGCCCTCAGGGGCACACCCTCATTCGGGAGCTGGATAAGGCTCTCCAGCCCGAGATGCTGCATTCACGGGACGCTAGATATGGCTCGTGGATTGCACAAACCTTTAGTCATTTCCGAGACTGGGGAACTCTCCACTTCAATCAGGTCATGAAGAAGTCGCCGGAGGATATCCTAAAACAATGGGAGCTGCCGGATGCGGAGAAGACGGAGCTCAAAGCAGGAGTTTTTAGTTGCCAAAATGACTCAGGGAGCAGTGTAGCCATGATCTCCAACACTTTCTCGATACTTCTGTGCATCAGGATATCATGCGTACGAGGAGACCGAGAAAAGCATCTTGAATCGCTGGGACCAGGGGCGCGATTTTTCTCTTGAAGACGTGGTCGCGCAAGCTTGCAAGCTTGCACAGTCCACTTCACAATTATCTTCAGTGCAGAAGGCCGAGCTCTTAGCTCATGTGCGGGACCAAGCTTGTTCAACGAAAGTCCTCCGATTCTGCAGGTGTGAGCAAGGAGCGTCTTCCATCTGATTGCTGATTCTTGAGATTTGGCTGTCAGGGTGCAAAAGCTTTCAAGCAGCTTTTCTAGAAGTGGGCCAGACAGTCGAACGACATCTCCCCACCAATTTCCGCAACCCGTTTGCCGTTTCCCTTTTCGCAACCCCTCCCAACCAGCCCATCGTTAATTTACCACCCCAAACACCGTCCCAACACCGTGCTAACCCTCTGGCAGCAACCCCAACTTCAACAATCGGCCCAGCCGCTCCCCACCTGTCTGATTTTTCACCCACCCCCGCCACTGGGCAGAACCGGGACTGGCACTGTTACCTCTCGGCTGTACACCAAGTCAGGCTTTTTCGAACACGCCGCCTAGGTCCGACCATCCGCGAGCTTGTGTGGAATTCGGAATACGTGATAATGTCATTTCTCGGCGGCTGTGGTTCTGTCCATGTCCGCGTGTTAGATGTGCACAGCATGCTTTTGCTTTCTGCTCAAGCTTTGAGACTTAACCGAGGTTTCTGCAACGTACAGCATATGCACCTGTGGGAAAGCATATGCCGAAATGAAAGCCGATGCTAAAGCAGATGTGGACACGTCCTTGCTCTTGAAGAAATTGCACCCAAGCCAGGTTTTCACCTGCCTTCGCTTGCTTGGTTGTAGTCGTGATGAAGATCTGCGCAGTCATTTGGTGCAAGTGAGGACTGGGGAAGGCAAATCGATTGTTCTGGGTATGCTTGCGACTGTACTTGGCCTTTCTGGGAAGAAGGTAAGCGTGGTTTGCTATTCTCAGTACCTGAGCGACAGGGACCAGAAGGATTTCGCACCTCTTTTTGAGCTCTTCCAGCTTCAAGACCGCATCAAGTACGACATCATCGAAAGCTATGTCGAGAACAGGGTCAAGGACATGCGGCCATGCACAGAGGCTTTGCTTTCCGGCGAACCTGACACCACCGCAGTACATGAGGCTGGCACGTCTGGTCTTGAAGAAGTGTTGCTGGTGGATGAAGCGGACATTCTGCTCAGTGAGAGCTACCTTGGGGGTACATTCAACCAGGTGGCTGAGGTTGGGGCAGCCGGCTTGCTTCGAAAGATCTGGGAATTGGGTGAGTCGGTGCCCAAGGATCAGCTGCTGGAGGAGGCCAGAAAAAGCCAAGAGTATGATGCCCTGAAGCAGCAACTGGGAGGACAGTGGGGCTTTCTAATCGACTTCGAGACTCAACGGATATTGGCTCAGCTCAAGGAGTTTCAAAGCTCAGCCCATGCCCGTCGATTCCATTTCGACGAAGTCGACAAAAGGATTGGATACTTTCAACATGACACCGTGAACTATGACGTATCGTTCGGGTATCACACCGTTTTTGCATATCTGCAGCTGGCAGACGAAGGGAAGCTAGCGGACGATACTCTAGAAGCTGTTCTGAATCTTCAAATTCCGTGTGCACGGTATTCCTATGCAGACATTCTGCTCCCCAAGGTCATACTTGGTGTCTCTGGCACAGTCCCTGAGCGGGACTCCGGCAAGCGTGCTGTCCTTCAGCAGGTTCTTGGTATTGATGATGAAGGCCAATACAGCTGCATGCCTTCCGTCTTTGGGGAGTCGAACTTGCGTTTCTTGGATTCAGCGGCTGTTGGCAGCCCACTTCTGGTCTGCGATGTGCACGACTATTTCCTGGAAATTGCTAAGGACATAAACCAGAAGTTACGGGAGGGGCGTGCCGTTTTGGTGTTTTTTGCGGATCGTGCCAGACTGGAAGCATTTGCAGCTTCAGAGCAATGTGGCAATGTCGTCTCCAAGCCGGATGTCCTCAGCGAACTAAATTCTCCAGAGGAGCGGACCAGCATCGTTCTCCGCGCCGCGACCGTTGGGCGTGTGACTCTTTGCACTGCAGCTTTTGGGCGAGGCACAGACTTCATAAGTGTGGACTCCCAGCTTCTTGAGAATGGTGGCCTGCACGTGATCCAATCATTCTTCTCCATGGACAAGAGCGAGGAGATCCAGATCCAGGGACGCACAGCAAGGCAAGGCCAGCCGGGGAGCTACTCGATGATCCTCAGTGCGGAGGACCTAGAAAGTCAAGGCCTGAAAGACATTCCCAAAGGGTCTCCAACTGAGAAGTACCAGGTGCTAGAAAAGTTCCGGGAACAGCGTGGACACGAGTGGAAGGCAAACGTCGACGACAAACTGGTGCAGGCCCAGAGGTTGCAAGCGAAGACGGAAGACTTCGCAAGGGCTGTGGAAACAGGAAATGCTGATGAAGTGCGCGCAGCTTTCCGACGCTTCTACAACTTTGCACAAGGCGGGAGCAGTCAAGAAAAATGTTGTTTGAGATCCACAAAGGAGGGGGTTAGAAAGTCCTGCTCTCTTTAGATGATGTTTTGCAGCCTCCGACCAATACACCCGACAAAGCAGAGAGTCCTGAACAAGACGTTCCCGCTCTTAAATCACAAAAATGATGTAGATATGCGCAATGGAACCCAATATAGTAATAATTATAGAAATATTTATAGACAGTTTAGAAGCCATGATCGCGCCGATGTCGAAGTCGGATAGAGTTGGCTTTCGGAACTCCACAACAAAAAAACGCCTCTCGATCGGCATCGGTGAGGGTTGGTCAATGTTGGTCGTGCTGCTCTTTATCATGTAATCGTGGACGTTTTCAACATTGTTGTTGTTTCGAGTCGTCCTTGGGCTTCGAGCGAGCTTACGGCAGAATCCACTATCTTTTCGAACTTTCATCAGCGCATGCTCTGACCTTTGTTTTTCGGGATGAAGGGAGAGCCAACGTGGCTTCTCACACCGTGACATCTGAAAGCTGCTTTATGCTGTATCACCTGCTTGAGGGGAACAGGAAGCCAATGTGGCCAATGCGGCTTGTTTCACCGTGACAGCTGAAAACGCGTTGTGTGACTGTTCAGGTCAGTTTTGATGCTCATATAAAAGTCGTGGGGTCAATTGGCTTGACTTTGGCTGCCAGGTCGTCGGCAGCACCGCATCGTCTTTGTTTGCGATGCCACAGGTTCCATGAAAGGTTTGTGGAAGCAGACTCGCAATGCAATCAGAACGGCCCTAGACCGCCTTGACGAGATCGGAGGCTTCTTCGAGTTCATGTGGATCGCATACAGAGACTACAGTTCGTCTGCGACAGATCTTGTGCAGAAGAGCGTTTGCACGGACAATGCCAGCGAGCTGGAGAAGTTCCTTGATGGCGTGTTTTGCCACGGAGGTGCAGGGGACGGTGCAGAAGCCGTCGAGGCCGGACTTCGGGAAGCGAGGCTTCAGCATGGGCGGGGACAAGTCTCTGGCATCATTCTGATCGGCGACGACATTCCGAGGGAAAGAATAGTGGAAGAGAGCCACTTCAAGTGCAGAATGGAGACCGACTACCACGCAGAGACCCTTCGGCTGCGCGAGCTTGGAGTGCCCGTTTTCAGCTTCAGGGTGCCGTGACTGCAATTTTGAACGTTTTGAGTGATAAGATTACTCCTGGGATTGCTTTATGGCAACGCCTGCTGCATGCAGGTCGGTAACCATTCCGGTGTGGAGAAGACTTTCAGATACATTTCAGAGCAAACTGGCGGTCAGTTCAATGACTTGAACCTGGATGTGGAGACAGAGGTCTTGGTCGATGTTCTGTGCACCTTCTCCATCACGGCTGCTGGTGATCATGAGCAGTTGGCTGAGTACAGGCGGCGCTACAAGAGGTTGACTTGAGTTGAGAGCTCCAGGAAATTCGGGCGGCGTCCATACTACAGGAGTCTCTTGCCTGAACAGCTGTTGGGTAGGTTCGTTCACGCTTTTGGAAATGTTTGCCCAAAGACTTTGCGTGTGCAGCGCTGGCGCAGACTCCTGCAAGAGTTTGGAGGCTTCGTGCCTCCCGTAGACAGCAAGGTGAGAATGGTACTCTCCACCAGAATGCGTTGGCTGCCCCTAAGCCATGCATGACATGACCGTTGCAATTTCATGGTTACGAGAATTTGGTGCGATACACGACAGTGCTTGGGGGCTGCAAGCTGCACAAGACAGCAATGGGTGCTCCGATTGTGTTCCCTAGACACGGAGTGCCGTGTTAGGAGTGTGAGATCATCAGAGATTCGCTTTGCCAGAGAAAGTCTGAGAGGGTTTGTAGCTGCTCTTGCGAGCTTCAAGTCAACAGACGTGCTTGCAGAAGCAACGGTCCGGTCAATTTGCCCACTCACCTACGCTGGCTGCATGCCCGAGTACAGGCCGAATTTCTGCACATCGGAGCTGTTTGGCACAAAGTAGTTTTGTTTCTCAGCAGTAACGAGCCAAATGATTTCAGGGATTGGGGCCCGATTCTGAAGCACCCTTTGCCGGTCGGATGATGTCAGATGCAGCACGGACAAGGGCTTGATGTGGTACATAGCTCAGCATTGCCCAATGCAGCTAGTGCTGTCAGCTTGAGCCGCAATATTCCCCATGGCAGCATGGCCGAAAAGGAAGCAGACGGTCAAACAAAGGTTCGTTGCTAAGTTGCCATGCCCACCAAGCCCAAGTTCGAATGCATGAGCTTACAGGAACACAGCTCGCTCTTCTTCTATGTTTTGCTGGCAACCGGACTGCTCGGGCATTGCACCGAAGCAGATTTGACAGAGCCGACACCTTCCTGCGCAATCCAATCGCTTGTGCGAAGAACCTGTCATGCACCAGTTCGCAGGACTGGCTTTTTGGACACGGGCTATGCCGACACCTTTCTTGCCGCTGGTTATGTCGCGGGATTTTCACCAGACGCCAGCGCACGTCGGATTTGCCCGCCCCCAAGAGATGCAGCGCATGCGCATTTTTCTGGCAGCAGCGAACACGTTCGGCTTTAGTTCAGCATCTGTCTGCAAGTCACTCCTGGTTTCGGAATTGCTCGGTTATGCGGTATGCAGCATTTGCCACTTAGGCAATGTCGGTGTACCCTTTGGGCGCCTTCGTTGCCACACCGTGCGCAGCCGCGCAGGTGGCTTGATCTTCGGGCTGCACCTTGACATTGCAAATTTGTTCTTTTTGCTTATTGAGTGTTCGGGAGGCACAGCGGTCTTCGCAAATCCTGCGTTTGCATTCTTGGACGCTAATGTTCATGGCATTGAGCCGAGCACTTGGCTGGGTTCCACTCCATCGTTCTTGGGGAGTGTCGCAAGCATGACCAGCCGGCAGTTGAGGTTCTCTTCTCCTGGCATTGTCACACCAGGTGCACGACTTTGCAGGAGCCAGGCATGTAAGCGGTTGGCTTGCTTGGAAACTCTGTGCCAAGATTGCTTCACACATCTTGCGTTTCTGAAGCGGGAAGAGAGGGGTTTGTCGGGTTGTTATGTATCCCGCAATGTAGCCTGAAGAAAAACTGAACTTCATTATGAACTTCTTCTAAAACCGGCAAGCCTTCCAGGACCGGATGCTGTCTTCGTGGCGCTGCTCGTATGCCGTTTCACCCAAGGCAAAGGGACGGTTGACTTGACACCCGCTAAACCGTCCATGATGTGAGGCATCAGCCAGGCATACTACATGGCAGCCAACACCACTTTGATTTCGAGAAGCTTTACAGGCACGATGCTTATGACTCATGAAATACTCATGACGTATTCTTTGCCGAGCCCTTGCATCGAAGTCTCCGTGTGCAGCTGTGGCCTACACTGTGGCCATGGCGGAAGTGGCAGTTGGCTCGGGCGCGCAGCTCGGGCGACTTGCCGGTGGCCTTCTTTTCGACCTGGGCGGCTTCGGTTGCCCCTTCCTTGTCGCTTCTGTGCCGCTGGACTCTTTTGATGCCGGGTCCAATGCACACAGCCTTCAGGAGTTCAGAGGCGATCGGCCCCAGCAGCTGAGGGCGCTTTCTCTTTGCGCCCTCGTCGGCCTGATGTTCGAAGACGAGGTCCAAGAGGACGAGGAAGTCTGCCGTGGTCTCCTTCTCAGTTGAACTCCTGCCGTGTACGTCGCCCATCTTATTTGCGATCGAGGTGGTGACTCAGAAGACACGCAGGACTGGGCACGCTAGCTGCGAGGGGCATGCCATTCCAAACGTCTTACTTGTGCGGCAGCAGGGCATCATAACCCTTTACGATGCCCCAGGACTCCTGGAAGGCTTTCTTCACACTGCGCATCTTCGTGACAGTGGCAGGCTCGGGCCCAAGTGTGAGGAAAAGATGCCACTTGCTTCTGTGATGTTTGAATTAGGTGTAATTATCGCGAAAGCTAGCATCTTTGCAGCTTGTGGGAGTTGTTATTTACAGATTTGGTCTTGCGTCAGAAGAGAGTTAAAAGGTCCTTGCTCGGTGGACCCTCCCCTACCTTGCCAGTTCAACAGACACCAGAACCGCTATTATTGGGCAACGTAAGAATGCTTCGCGTTCACAGCAGGCTTCTTTTCCCACTCGTTCATGACAGAGACAAGCATCGACGAGTTTATAGGAGGGTGGACAAACGTTTCCGGAACGAGCTTTGCTAACTGTGTCAATCAGTGCAGGCTTGGGATTTATGCCAACGTATGAAAGCTCAACCTATTCTATCAGGCTTGACTGAACAGTCGGATAGTCGTGTGCTTACCACTTCGCAGCACAGTGTACCAGGAGCACTTATTCAGATTCGGTTGCCAGCATCAGCTCGCAATTGCGATGCGCAGCTGCCCGTTCCGTCCCCCAGCCTTTGTCCGCTCTGCTCCCAAGTACATTCTACAAGTTGTCGGGCCCAAACCTCGAGCTTCTTTCTGCATCCTACCGGGCACAGGAGCTTTTTTAGTTTCCTTTTGCAAGGGCTTTGAGTAAAGGCCGTGTAGCTTCACAGTTTGATCAAGGGCCAGATCTATGTCCAACACTCGCGATAGCTGCAAACGAGGGATCGTGCCCCAAGCTCCATCTGCTTCCTGGTCATTGCTCCACAGACCGGAAATCTGCAGTGTGCTACCAGTAGGTCGGCTTTCTGCCCTCCCGTGCTTCTCCGAGGTGTTTTCTCCGCTTACATGGTGACAGGCCGGGAGCAACCGCTCACTCTTGTAAGTTGCTTTTCTCACGTGTCCCAAACAGGTCTCATGGATTCCACCCTGCCCCAGCACTTGGAGGAACTCGACCGAAGCTCTAGGATGCTATGGTAAAGAAGATGTAAGTTTAGAGCTCTTGGCAGTGCCCACTGCAATCGCCAGAGCACGTGCTGAGGCACATTTGGGCCCTCTATCCGTCTCGGCAGTCAGTGCCATCAGCTGCTGAAGTCGAAATGGTTCCTGATATCCGGTTTTCCATGCCTCTTGGAGCAGACTTCGATTTGCGTTGGAAGATCTCAGGCTCCCTGCGAAGTTTGACGTACCTGCTGGTGTCATGGCAGTGCGCCTCGGAGCACCACCGGGGTTTTGAATCCTTGGGCCTTGGACCTTTGGACCTTCGGACATTGCAAAGCGTCACCTTCGGACATTGCAAGGGCTTCCACTCCGCCTCTCGTATTTCCACGTGGGTAGTTCTCTAAATTAGATTCCCATGTTAGGTCCCCCAGAATAGTACGGCACCCTTCTAAAAGGGAACCCTAAAACGGACCCGAATTTAGAGAACTACCCACACTGCCCCCCAAACCCTGAACCCTAAACCCTCCGGTAAGGGTCTTAGATTTTGGGTTTGTGAGTTGGTTCTTCTCCTGTATGGATGTGTGGTTCCGTTTCACACTTCGCACCATGAACCTCGCCTGGCTTGTCCGAGTTGTGAGAGCGTAAACCCTCAAGATCCCTTAAGCCTAAACCCTAAAAGGATCTATCATGGCTGCCATGCGAGAGGGAAAAACCTTAAAACGAACCTGACCCAATTTTCGAGAACTACCCATGGCCCCCAAGGCGCCCAAGTCCTGCGCCTGGAGCTCCTGAGCTTGGAGGCGCTGCAATCCGCCGGCTTCGGCCTCGCGACGCTGGGCCTGCCCCGTGGATCAGCAAGCTGATATCAGAGTTTAGGATTTAGGGGTTTAGAAGTTTAGGGTTTAGAGTTTAGGGTTTAGAAGTTTAGGGTTTAGAGTTTAGGGTTTAGAAGTTTAGGGTTTAGGGTTTAGGGTTTAGGGTTTAGGCTGATGATAGAAATCAGGGTTTGGGGTTCCTGTGAGGGTCCCCTTTGGGATCCTTTAGGGGCAAAAGGGTCCTACGGTTGATGATATAAATCCTGCAATACCCAAAAGTAAGGAATATGAAAATGCCATAATAATGTCCCCCATAGTTTAGGGTCCTTAAGGTAATGCTAAGGACTTAGATCATCAACAGTAGGGCAGGGCTCCTTGACTCTGCGCTTTCCTCCGGTGTTTGTAAGTGGGATGCCGGTTGCCATCGTGCCCAACCCGGGGATCAGGGCTTAGAGTTTAGGGTCCGTGGTTTAGGGTTTAGGATTTAGGGTTCTGGGTTCAAAAAAAGGGTCCGTGGATCAGGATTCTTGTGGCACCGCAGCGCTTTGTTGTGGACACGGAGTCGCTCCTGCCCAGCGGAGCCCTGGCCAATGCCCGGCGCCTAAGACATCCGAAGTGACCCCAGAATCTGGCATAAGCTAAGGTAGGACATTACATGAAAGGAACAGTGCGTTCAAAACAAAGAGTGCATTCAGACTGTTGTAAAACAAAGAGTAAATTCATGCTTGACGTTTGCTGGAGGCTTGGGCTTGTCAGATCCTCGCTCTGGTGCTGACGTCCACAGGGAACGCCATGCTTTTCGTGCCTGGTCTGCCGCTGCTGCAGGCAGAAGTCCGACATCTAGGACCTGCAATTAAACTCACAAACAATGAACGGCCCAAAACGGAGAACTGCAGGGTGGAGCCATGACACGTGCAGGTTCTTCTGGAGTTGCAGGACCTGCTGCGTCGGAGCGTGTCTCCTCTCTGCTGATGGCCGCAATGTCGGGAGGCGAGTTCCTCGGTCCCATCGCAGGCGCGAGTCCCGCGAGCTGGGAGGGAAATGCGTCAAACCGCTCAGCTTTTGGCCTGGACTGAGAGTGCCCCCCCCAAAAGCTCCGTGTCGACGAGGCGGCGCCTTGGAGGAACGCTGTGGCTTCCGCGACTCCTCGGCGCTCTTCGCGGCGGGGCTTGCGCCAGGCGTTCCCATGGGACTCGTCGCCTTCTTTGGCCCCCAGGCCCAGGCATGGGAAATCAAGTCTTCAAGCTGTTTTGGGAAGCTGGGCGATGCCGCCAGTCCAGCCGAAGCCGGGACCAGCCGCTGCTTGAGAGGCAGTTCTCGTACACGGAGGAGAGGAATCTGTAACAAAACATTCATTCCGTCTTCGCAACAATGCGGTTTTTGGATCAGCCAGGAGTCGATTGACTTGGCCAAGAACCTCACGGTCCCTTTTGATCCTGAGAGCGCCTACAGGCGCGGTGAGTGCGTGTGCATGGATGCCGAAGTGGTATATTGGTATTCGTCCGGAGCCAAAGCACGTTGTCTCTAGGCATCCCACATGGATTCATACGGCTTGACTTACTCCTCCTTAAACCTAAGCCCTACAGACCTTTGAGTTTTTTTGGGCTTAAAGCCCCTGAACACTTCTTTCTTGTAGGTTCCGACGCCTGGCTTTCCTGGGGCCGGAAGTCCGCAGGCGCGTGCACTCTGCTCCAGCGCAGGAGCGCGACTTGGCATGTAATGGTACAGGCAGGAATGTTTTGGGTCTTGGGCAAGGGCAGCCGACATTTAGTCCGGTACTGTATCATCACCGGTATCGTAGCTGTGCGGCATGAGGGCTTTGCATGCAAACTCGCAAAGTGCTCCGACCGGGGTCACAGCCCGATGGCCCAGGTCGCCCATTCGTTCCCCGACTGCCGGGTTCTTCCACAGCACCCTCCTCGATCTTCCGCCGGATCTTCCTCCCGGAGGCCTCCAAAGTCTTCCCTGCTGGCTCCTGCTGGGATGATGTCCTTCCGGGTTCAGGGTTTAGGGTTTAGGGTCTATAGGGAGCGGAGGCCAAAGCCGCCCGGGCGCCGCTACCATCGATCCCTGAGGCCGGGAAGGCGAGAGACATTTCAGTCTGTCGCTGTCCACTGCAACTTCGCAGGCTCGTCGGGCTAGCTCGTACGGGCATAGTGGTCGCAGCAGTGGACACGGAGAAAGGTCTGACAGAAAAAAATAGAGCTCTACAGTGTACAGGATGGTGAATGTTTCTGGGCCTAGCCTTGAAACTGGGTTGGCCTTGCGTTCCACTTCGACTCGCCGGTATTGAGAACACAGGTCGTGCCAGTGACCCTATGCTTTCAAGCATGCGACTCAATATTGCGATAGCTTTCAACATAAACTGGGCGCCGTATGCTTGGGAAATCAAGCCATGTGCCGCAGCGTTTTGGTTCGAAGCAAGGGCTCGCCAGATCACCAACACCGCCACTGTCAGATGGCATCATGGCATCATGAGTCATGTGTTGTGACTTGTGACAGAAACACAAGGAAGGAACACAGCAAGCTCGTCAAAGCATGGATCAAAAAGCCATGTCGCTGTAGTTCGCCGGGTGAGGACCGGGTGAAACCATGGCGAAAATCACGGCCCTATGCTTGAAAAGTTTGGTTTGTAGATGTTTAGAGGTTGTGGAACGGCTGATGCCCAGGTCCTGCCGGACAGTGAGAGCTTGGGAATTGTGGATGTCTGAAGCTCAGCCTGACCTAAAGCTGCTCTAGCTGCTGGTGTTCATCAAGAGCAGCTTGGGCGATATGCTCTCCAGGTCCAGCAGCTCATGGAAGACCGTGGGCCTCTGCCGAGCACCTGTTGATATTGTACATTCCTGTGCTTCGCGTGCTCCCTGGCATGGCCTGTCCGTGTAGGCTGTGCTGACGGCTCAACGTCGCAATTGAATCCCGAAAAGCTCGGAGGGGGGCTCCCTCCCTTGACAGCACGTAGACGTAGACAGCTTGTGACGCATCCTGCTTATCGGGTGCAGCTTCGACGGTGTAGGTCATGTTGTCCCATGTGTGACTGACACCCTGGCACCTTCTCTGCCATGGGCTGATCGACAGTTGTGGTGGCGCTGATGGTCCAACGCTTCTCTCATGACGCAGCTCGGCACGATGCCACCCCCTTGTCCCGAGATGCTTGTAGCAGTCTGTGCGACAGGGATGCGCCAGTGCCTGGTGAGACGGCACCTTTGGCAGTTCATGATTCTTTCAGAGCAGGCAGGGCAATCGGCTTCATGAGGAGAAGGGCTTCCCTGACATGCAGTCGAGCGTGGTTTTGAACGAGTGTCTTCTAAACGGAAGAAATCACATTTAAGTGCGCTCTTGAAAAAGCATGGGAGAAAGAAACTTCACTACCTGTGGAGCTTGCGCCATGCCGTGCTAAACATAAAACCGTCACGAGTACTCGCACGTGCAGCACATCTGTGCGAAATAAATACTCCAAAAACCAGACAAAGACTTACTTGAAACCGGCTTAGAGCAACATGACGAGGGGCAAGTTCGTTTGATCGAGTTGCTCGAAGGCCCAAGATTTAGTAATGACACACATATAAGTATAAGACCATGTAGCAAGAAGGCAGACGGAAGAGGAGAGACGTATCAGGCCGTCAGATCTGGTACACCTGGTTGTTAGAGTACATGTTTCGTGACGCCTCTTTCCGGGCTTAGAGCTAGCTCACGCGACGACAGGCTTACGAGAGGAGGATGCAGCGAGGCCTTTCTTGCTTGTCCGGCCGCCCCGCTTTTCGGATTCGGGTTCTATGCCCCGGTAGAGGCACGGTGCTGCATCATCGAAGCGACGGAGACCCGGTCCATCATTTGCACCAGCACGTCCCGTCAACGCGCCAACAAAGGCGCAGCAGGCGTCTTCTGTCGGGGCTGTTCGACATGGACGATGTAAGCTCATCAGCTTCTCGTCAGGCGTTGCAACTTCAGATGCGGCAACTGGAATTGAAGCAACTGGCATTGCAAGTCAAGTTGAAGCGCCGGCAAGAAGAGCAAGTGTCTCGGCTACAGCGGCTACAGTTCACGGCTCCTCCTGCTCATGCTTAGGATTTGCGCAATCACATGGTTGACCCAACACTAACCTGGGAGTATTATGAGGACCCCTTAATCTAAACCAGGTATCCCTGATCTCAGGCAACCCCTAGCCCTAATTACATGTCTGTACCCTGCAATGCGGGCTTCGTCCTAGCTAGGCGGGAGGCCAAGAATTACATGTCTCAGGTCAAAGAAGTCGACCGTGTTTTGGCAGCCAAGCAACATCAGCTCGAACGAGAACGGCAACATGCTTTCTTGGAGGTCAGCACGGAACGCGGTCCCTGCAGCGCAATCACTTCTGTCTGAGTGAACATGATGATAATGCTGATGATGGTGATGGTGATGATGATGAGTCTGAATCCCATCAAGGAGTTTCTGTGAGTTTATCTCCGTACAGCGGTGACGATGATTGTGTTCATGATGGTCATGACCGCTTTGTAGTTTTTACCTATGTCGCTGTCGTTGCTTCTGCCAGAAGCAGAAGTATGGCGTATGGCGTGCAGTATCAATGTGCCCGACATATCAGAACAGGCATATTCTGACTTCTTCTCCTTACATTGCCCTACATGCACTAGCATTGTCAGTATGACCAGTCTGCGTATGATGCAAGTCCTTCTCCCTCTTGCATGTCAAGTCGTGGCACGGTCTTGCAAATACTTTTCAGCAATGCCACGATAGCTTACACAATTGTGATAGTCACCCAGCATTGTTGCCAAACGAGACTTAAGCAAGCAATTAACAGCAGGTCACTAGTGGGGAGAATGACCACAATAAACAACTGCTAGCATTGCATCAACCACACTAGCAATAATTGAACCATGCCAGTGACGCTAGTAGCATCTGCGCAAGCAATCGGAAAAACCTTGTAGTGGCAAACAACAATAGTCAAAGGACGCAAAAATTGCCATACACGACAATCGCCACAATACTACAACTTTCCTTCAAAACGGAAACGGGCACGACGACAATTGCAAAGCCGTCAACAAGAACAAGCAATGCAACAAGACAGCGATTCTGCTCAACAGTCTCTTATTCGTCTTATTTACGAGTTGCAGAAAACATAGCACCTAGCGCAGAACCCTCAGCAATAGATCATAAGAGGTCCGTCATTGTAAAGATCTGATTAAAGAACACCATCGAAGCTCCAGTGGAGGCTCGCGAGAGGGAGCGTGGTCTGGACCTTCGTCCAGGTTCGGACTTTCTGAAAGCTGTGCCTGATGGGTTTTCTACGATCGGGCCGGGCTTAGCCGGGCGGAGAAGCCAGAGGAAAAAGGATTTGGAGGGCCTTCAATACAAAGAGTTCTTGGTTCCAACAGAGCACCCTTATAGAAACCCTTATGGATCCCTTTTGGGGAGCCCCCAAAAAGGGTTCCCCAATGTTGAGAACTACCCCACCGAAGCATCGCTGGCTTTGGGCCAGGAGTGCAGATCTCCTCTCCTCGTCAGCTCCAAGATTCGCCCGTGGAGTCTGCCGAGGCACCGGGGTGTTGAATTCTTAGTTTTAAGATTTAAGATCATATACTGTACTATATACAAATTCTAATTTTAGTTTTAAGATCATATACTGTACTGTAACAATACTAATTTCTTGCCTAACAACAATATTTTTACAATGCCAATGGTAATGGTACTATTAACAATAGAGTGTGCGACGCCCTGGTGGCGTATACTTCTCGGGAGTCGTCACTCGAGTTTTTACGTCATGTTCTGTAACAATAGTACTAATAAGAGTTAGTACAGGAATAAGCATAATCTTAAGATTAATAAGGTAACAAATAACACAAAAATAATCGAAGAGACCCGTCACCTTCCGTGTAGCCGGGGCCGCCTAGTACATGCTAGAAGTGGGAAGTTGCATGCTCGTAATCCTCAGAACCCATGTGCTGTAGTTGTTGAAATTGTCATGTGGATCAGCCTGCCGGTCAACCACGACAAGCGGGGTTCGCTAAAGCTGTTGTGGTTTTCGTTGTCGGTTTGTTTGAGGAGCTGGTGGAAGACAGCGATGGCTCCTCACCAAGACGGCTAGTGATTCGGGTGCAAGATGCCCGCGCGATAGAAAGGGGGAGTCTTGGCAGAAATGTGTGGCGCTTGCAGCACCGCTTGGGCCCGGCAGGGTCAGTTTCCTGGCGCCGAGGCGGGAGAAGGCCGCGTACAAGGCTCTGATGGCAGAGCAAGCCGCTCTCCGGGAAGTGGCTGCAAGGGACGAGGCGCCAAGATGCTTTAGGCTCGCCTGAGGCCCTTAGGCCATCTTCTTGTGGATTTTGGTGAGGCAGCGAAGCGGGAACAGGCTGCTAGAAGGATCCAAGCCTTCCGAAGGGCAAGCCAGTGCCTCGTCGCAATGTGCCGTATCTGCTCGCATCCCTGCACGTGCCTGCAAGAGTGCACCCCTCCGCGCAGGGTGCAACGAGAAAAAGCCCATGCGACATCGGAGCGTTTGCAGCGTGCACATCGTGAGCAAGGTGGGCACGGGTTCGGGCACGTGACGAGTAGCTTGGGGCCACAGTGTAAGCCGGGCTTATTCATCAATCGCACCTTGATGTGCTTACACCATTGCAACAGGTTCGTTGTTCCAGCTGCAGGTTCAGTCGCTACCACTAAAGCCTCAGACGTGCAAACCTTGCTGAGGCGCCCCACACGGCCGGAGTGCGCCAGCAAGCCGAAGCACGAGTCCCCAAACTCGACGAGATGAGGCGCCATACTCCGTTTGTTAGCAGCTGCCACTACAAGCAAGTTCATCATGAAGGATATGGATTCATCGACTCGTGCTTGGAGTTTTTCGAAGCGATCGCTATGAACTGCTGGGTAGCGTACACTGTAGAAGAATCGGAAACATGAGGTCGTCATGGCTACCTTTCCTAGCCAGGCGGGAGGCAAAAATGGCAAGGTAGCAGTGTTTGATGCTTTTTCCAGACATTTTTTGCTGCGTCGCTGTCTTGTGGATTTGGTCTGCGTTGATTGTGGTTGCGGCAGCTTGCGACTGCTCGCTGGTGGAGCTTCTAAGAGGAGGAGGAGGAGTAGTAGTAGTAGCAGTCGTAGTAGTAGTCGTCGTCGTCGTAGTCGTAGTCGCAGTCGTAGTCGTCGCCGCCCCCAGCCGTACTTGCCTTATGGCAATGACGACGACGGCTAGTAACTACGACGAAGACGAGCTCCTCCTCCTCCCCACCTAGTCCTCGACCTGCTGCTTTTGCCGCTTCACGGTTGTGGGTGCAGGCAAGGCAAACAAAGGGCCGAGCTGCCTCGGAGTCGCCGCGTTTGCCCAGAAGCATGGCGGCAAGGAAGTCCCGAGCCCTAAGCCACTTCGCCCGGTTTGTCGAGTTCTGACACTTGAGAGTTTCCTGATTTCGTCGGTGAGCAGTTGTTGTGAGTTCTTGCCTGCCAGCACAGGGGTCTACACCGAATGCTTGGGAGCCTGCTTGCCTCCGCATTGCACTTGCTCCACAGCAAGTCCACAGGCACTAGGGCCTTAAACACTGCACCGGCAATGTGCTACTAAATACCAGCGATAAAATCCGATAAAACTCATCGCTCTCGAAGAGATCGACAGCTGCCAGCTCCACCCGATTTGCCAAGTTGTGATACTTGAACCTCCAGAGCCTGGTTCTGGAGTTTTCGGCTTGTACCCTGGGCAGCTCAAGGGCCATCCCTTTCATTGGCTTCCCCTCCGCCCTGTGTTCTTCCGGTCCTCATTTCCTCCTACTTCATGCTTAACATGTCAGCATGAATGCACATGATGTGCCTGGGTCGAGCAGCACAGGAAAAGCCGTCCAACCACGGAACCGGACGCCTCCACGAACGGATCTCAGCGTTTTGAGACATGAGCCCTTGATATTGCGTATCCCGTGTTCGTGAGCTGAAATCACCTTGACATTCCCAGCCGCACGCCCAACAGGGGCTTCTCCGTCTCCGTCGCCCTCCGCGCGGCAACCTGGGCAAGTGCGAGGCAGCGACTGCTTTGTCGCATCTTTGTCACATTGTGTTGGTGTGGAGAGTCGACACCGCAAAGCTTGCCTGTTGCATTTTGTCATGGACTGTAGGTGCCTCGACTTCGCGAAAGCAGACTCGCTCAGGCATGGACTCTGCAAGCACAAGGGCCAAAAGTGCGCCTGGCAGAGACCGTCTCTGAGGCCCCAGCCCGAACAGAGCACCTTCCAGATCCCAGGCTATCGTACCAGAAGGCTCTCGGATCTCTCGGCTTACGCTTCTTCCGTGCAAGCCCAGTGGTTCTCACACAGGACGCCCTCGAGCAGCAGCTCGCAGCTTGTCCCCCGCATCGCGCAGTCCGCCCGACCACAGAGGCTGAGCCGGCTAAGCGGCCGCTGAAGGAATCCGCCGAACTTCCCTGTCCTTTGATGACAGGTCGGTGCTCGCAGGCGCGCAGTCCGTCGTCGCAAAACTCGAGGAGCCCGCAAAGGCAGTCGTCTGGTCTCGAACGTGCTGGCCTTTGCTGTCAAGAGTCTTGTGAACGGAGGGCCCGAGCTTTTTGTCCGCAAAGGTGGCTTTAGTCCTCCGGGCTTCCTGCTTCCCGACCCTCCCTCTCCACTGAATCTACGGGAAGGCCGCTCGGCTGCGTTGCCTTCCTCTCTTCATCGCTCTTCTTTGCCAGTCTTGCCCCATATTGAGGCGCCAGCGTTCGGACTCCCTGGCTTCCATCTGGCTCGCCATCGCGGCCATCTACCAAAGGCTCGGTTAAAGTCAGACCCACCGGTGAGAAGCTGGCGTCTGCCTGCAGGCGATGAACGGGAAGACAGAGCACCCGCAAGACAGAGGACGAAGCGTCATGCTTCCAGAGTTTGACAGTCACCCGCTTTGCCGAAGGAGCACCAGAAGAGAGCTCCAGATGTGGACAGCTGAGGCCTACGACTTTGTCAGTTGGCCTTGCTGTCATGGCTGAGCTGATTCCAGATGCTTCAGGAGCAGGGGGAGCATTATGGAGCATTCCATGCGAAGCCATCCATGGAGGTCGTGAAAGCGTGCATCCCTTGCTTCGTGGCGATATGCACGCCCTGGGCAGGTGACGTTTGCTGCGCCAAAGTTGCCTGTCCCGGCCCTCGCCGTGCCCAGCTCGCCCAGCTCGCGGCTGGAGCCAGCACTCGGGGGCGTTAGCAGCAGGAAGCTCAGTGGGCCCCCAGGCGCAGAAACGAACGCAACGGGAGCCAAGCAATGTGCACCGAGCTGCTCTGCGGATGCAGGGGCCCGCCACGACTTTGTTCAGAATCCGACCTTCTGCCAGCCCGCGAAGGTAAGGTCAGGCTTGTGTTTTTTTGTTCGTTTGCGAAGCTTCTCACTGCAGGGCCGTGGGCTGCCAAGCGCAGAGGAAGCCGAGTCGGCCACCTCAGCGATTCTCCCAGACCTGCCTGCGCTAGTTTATTGATAGCAGAGGCGAATGCTCGAGTCCCCGCTGATGGGGGTTTACCACCCGGAGATGCCGGCGCAGGAGGCCAAGGCTTTCCTTCTGGGCAATGTGTTCTCTCACACCTACATGACATGCGCAATCCCGGAGGAGCAACCACGACGCGCACCGTCGCCACCGGACAGGTGGCTCGTGAGCTATCGCGATGTTGCTTGTGTTGTCTGCTTTGCTTCCGCTTGCTATTGGCTGTTTCATTATGTATGGCGTTCGAGGTGCGGAGGAACTGGCATGGCCTGGTGGGTGGACTTTGCCGGAGCCGCTCCGCCACCACAAATCTCCCCTTGGCGCGCTGGAGAGCCCTCGCTGGGACACGGCGAAGAGCCCGAACCCTCAGACCGGCAAGGCCTTCGGTGCTAGCCCACTTCTGGTTGAAAGGGAATTTAGGGAAAGCCGCAGGCGCTTTTGTCGGACCTGGGCCGGTTTCAGAACCAGTGGAGCGGAGGCTTGCCGAGGCGGCAAGGCCAGAGACTTTAGCCACAAGGAACGTGTTGCACTCGTGGCGGGAAGAGTGCAAGAGCAGGATCCGAGATGAGAATGGCCGACGAGCCTTCGGACAGGCTGGGCATGCTGATATCGCAGGCATGCCCACAGTGCAGCCTGGCGGCATGCCTTCGGCTGCTCCATGGCATGTGATGCCGTTGATTGTGCCGCTTCTGTCTACGCTGGCAGTAGTAGTGACATCCGATCGAGATCGACACATTCCGTAGCCAGCTGTCTTCGTAGAGGAGGAGGCCTATACCCGTATTCATCTGCGCTCGAAGCCGCGCCAGTCCCGAGGCCAAGCCGCAATGCACACGATAGCTGGAGCGAGGTGGGCCTCTCCGTGCGTTTGTCCGTTCTGCCGCACTGCCTGCATCCGCTGCATTGACTGGCAGGCGCCATCAGTTGGAGAGAATTTTGCTCATCGGCTGGGGCTGTTTCAGCGTGGAGATCTCACACCACCACCCGTCCCTGCGTCTTGCCTGCCTATGGTCTTCCAGGATGCTAGAACCTGAACTGCAATGACGGCACAGTGACTTCGGCGAATGACATGCAGAGCTCGCACTAAGTCCCGCAACCCGTCGGAACTCTGGGAGCCGGGGGCTTAGAGTTCTGAACATCTCCTCGGTGCAAGTAGGATTTTGCATCAGCTCGAAGCTAGTTCTTATGTATATTATATGGAGTGTATGTCGGAGTGACCTCCATGCTCGGCCTCGGCTTCGAGCTAGGCTGCGTGTGCGACAGACCAACTCTCAGCTGGAGATGCTTCGCGAACTCGAGCCGCTCGGAGTAGGAAGGAGCATGGAAGCCAGCACATTTCAAAGTGGGGTGCGGTCAGGGGAGAGGGTCGGGGAGGGTGCCTCGATCATGTCATATAGCGGAGTCATGTTTCGTAAGCAGAAGCGCAGTTTTCAGCACGGTCATCTGACCAGACCAAGGCATCAACGTGGAGATGCGCCTGGTGCAAGGGCCGCGAGAGTGTTCAACTTCAGTTCTTCCCCGCCTCTTGCCGAGCTTTGGACCCTCGCGTATTTGCAGACCTGAACTTCTGTTGTGAAGAACAGTGCTGTCAGGGAGGAGTGCCATGCAATAGAGTCAATAGAGTGTCACGTAGGAGCCGTCAGCTCTCTCTGACAAGCGTCCGATCTGACAAGCGCAAGAGCCCCGCAGCCAAGTGACCACCAGATGCAGAGGCCCTGCAGCTGCTTCTAGGGCTGCTGCCACCACCACTTCTACCACAGCCATTCCTGCGACTACTCCCACCTCTACTCTGCCTGTACCACTGCTACCGCCACCACTGCCGCGCTACCATGGCTAGTAATCCTCATCATGAGGCTGGGTGATGGTGCTTGCATTTCGGCTGAAGGCGAGATTCTCCGCGTCGGAGCCAGAGTCCGAAGAGTCCAAGGAGAACTCCGGCCTTCGGTACCAGTGACCCGGTGATCCCCTCACAGAAGGCCTGGAATTCCTAGGAAGTTGACTTCGAGGCATGAGCGGAGGAGCTGAAGCCTCAAGCCAAGCGGCCGCGCCCTGCAGATCATCCAGAAGTACTCGGACTATTTCGTCTCCTCACCGAGCAAGAAGGGACATGGCGATCGGGCCATGTCGGAGGCCTCACCGACGAGCCCCTTGGCTGCAAAAGCAACGTGTCTAAGTTTGCGCAAGGTTCCGGATACCGGAAGCTTTGGACTGAGGACGGTCAGGGCGACCTGACACCAGCCCCAAATCCAAGCAAAAGTCCAAGGTGCTTGGGCTGATTCTTGGATTCGCGGTTGGCAGTTCCACGACTCATTCCTTGGCCTTGTCCCTCAGGTGGTGTACCCGCGATCACGCGAAGTACATGCGTGGCAGGCTGCAGGTTTCGAAGCTGCCAGCGTTTACAAGGGCCTGCGGAACGCCGTGCCATGGTGGCAGCAGATCATCCTAGGTCGGAGTGTGATGGGCCATTCTCAAAGTCAAACGATGCACCTGGCTGAGGCCGGCCTCCGTGAAGGATGGGGGGTTCTGAACCAGAACGATGGCAGCACTTACGCCGGTCAGTGGGTCTCAGGCCGACCCGAAGATGACGAAGGCTCGCTCTGCGACGGTACTTCTGCCTGGCGTTGTGGAGGCAAGCGGCACGGTGTGGGCACGCTCGTCTTCGACGGCGGCATTTTCGAGGGTCAGTGGGTCCGGGGTGAGGCATCCGGAAGCGGACTGGCTGCTCGGCGTCAACTGTACATGGAACGCCAGACAGGATCCGAGCACAGTGACAGTTGCCCAGGTGCGGTTTACCAACGGCGACAAATTCGAAGGCCAGTATTCGGGTAACCGAAAGCACGGGTTCGGCACGTATGCCTGGGCCGACGGTGCTGTGGAGGAGGGTCCGTGGCTCTTCTGCATCGCTGGCTCAGCATAGGTGACATTGGGGAGCATGAGGGGTTCTTTACTCCTGCCAAGGTATTTCAATGGGCAGAAGACTGACTGGCACACGTGGCGTCAAGGGCCTTCCCAATGGAAGCTGCGCTGCTCAGCGAAAGCATGGTTTGGCTGGTCTTCGTGGAATTAATCTTACCGACGTGGCAGGGGCACTTGCTATTTATTTATTTATTTAGTCGTATAATTAGACAGAGAGCCACATGCTTCATGAGTTTTCTCTGAGGCTACGAGAGTGGTGCCGTGGTCGAGGCGCAGCAGGCCTGCGGCATCTGTCAGCAAAAAGAAGGTGGCAAGTTCCTTGCAAGCAAATCGTTGAACATTCATGTTTCGCGGGTTAGATGCATGCAGGCCATGCGCAATCTTGGAATCTCGTTTTGTCTGAGCGGGTTAATTTGAGCTCTGAGCTGTCAAGCCTGAGATGTTCAGGCACAACGAACCCGAGCTGGCTTGTCCGAGTTGTGAGAGCGTATGGTGGGTTTGGTGCTGACTGAGTGAAGATGATATCGGTATAACAACGGGCGAAGTCCGGAAAACAAGTTCGGAAACCAAGGAGGGCGATGTCGGAAAACAGCCGGACAGAATCACACAGGCAGAGTCAGAAAACAGCACAGACGAAAGCAGAAGACATAACAGAATCGGAAAACAAATATCAAAAAACAGCACAAACACAATCAGAAAACAGGAGAGAGAACATCAGAACAATGGGCGTAGCATGGCGTAGCCACCCCTCTGTTTTGCCCACAAACCGGGAGGTGAAGGAAGGCCGCGCTCCTTTCACCCCTCTGTTTTGCCTACAAACCGGGAGGCGAAGGAAGGCCGTGGTCCTTTCACCCCTCGGTTATGGCACAAACCGAGAGGTGAAGGAAGGCCGCGGTCCTTTCACCCGTCGGTTTTGGCCACAAACCGAGAAGTGAAGGAAGACCGCGCTCCTTTCACCCCCCTGTTTTGGCTGGTTAAAAAAGGCTGGTGCAGCATGGGGTCGCCAAACGGATCTCGAATCCATGAATGACATGCTTGAATCGAGAAGTGCACAGGCCGAAGCCCATAGGAGGTGAGATCGATTTCTCAAGCGTGCGATCTAAGGTTGATTGTAGCTTCACCAACGGGGCTAGGATTCAAATAGCGAGCTTCAAGCTGCAAGCTGAGCAGAACCCTGAACTTCGACTTCGCAGGCGAACGGAAAGAAGCCAAGTCGAGCCGCCGGAGTCTATCCGCGCTCCAAGGAACCTCGTCTCTCGCTCCTCGACCGGTGGTTTCTTTTCAACTGGTGATTGTAGTTCGTCTAATTTCCTTTTCTGATGCCGATTCCCAGCTGATGCGGCAGCCTGGGCTCAAAAAACACTTTGGGATTTCTAGCAGTCTAGCAATTTTTGCATCTTCATCTTGCGTAGTGGGATGGTCGCTGTGGGTCTCATTGTGGCCGGATGTCCTGCCTGCTGTTACAGTAGAATTCAGACCACGGCTACTGACAGTTGTAGTGAGGGAATGATTGCTGAGTGCTGCGGTAAGAACCACTGTCCGCGTTGGAAAGGATACTGTACTGCTGTTCGGCGTGCAGATTGTCACTCTCATTGTTTCGGACACTCTTGTGATGATTATTCACATTGCGATTGGCGTTCTTCTTCTTCTTCTGCTCCACCCTCTGTGCATGATGTGTATGTGAGTTAGATGCCCCAATCGCCCAGTGAGAGCATAGAAGCTGGCGCCGCGTCATCGCTTGCTAAGGCCCTTTGGAAGCTCAGATACGTCGAAGCCAAAGCTGAAGGCGAAGGCAGCGCCGAGGCTTGCGCCGAAGAAGTCGAAGCTAGGAAGGCACTGTCGCAACATACGGTTTCTACCGACGGCAAGGCCCAAGGCGATGGCAGCCGGACGACAGGAGGAGGCTCCTTGCATCGAGCGTAAGTTGTCGGAGAGATGGTGAGATTCTGAGTCTGCACCACAGGATCGCTCCGGCTCGCCCGCGGCCAGCCTCATTGCTGACCTGCAACCCCAGGCCAGGCTTGTACTGTTCAGTCTTGTGAGCATGACCTCACTTTCTTGCAGGAGCCTGGACGGCCAGCCTTGAATCAGGCCAGAGTGGCTTTTTTTGGAGGTGTGTGCCGGACTTCTTGCATCTGCAGGTCTCAGCTTCTCGGCTCCCTGACACAGAAGGGCAGCCCAAAGCCGCTTGGCAGCACTCTTCCGAGCTGTGCTTCGAGGGTGAAGGCAGCGACTCGAGGTCGGAGCCGAAGCAGCGAGCTCCAGCAACAATCCGGCGCGCCTGGCCTTCGCCATCTCCAAGGCCCCCGGGACCCCGAGTCGCAGAGGCTTAGGCCGAGGCTTCTGCTTCTTGGAGCCGAGGTGAACAGCCTCTACAGGCAGGTGGCCCTTCCGGCAGCGCAAGCCCCGGCACAAGTCATGATCAAAGGCAATGTGTTCTTGAGTCTGAGTGTGCAAGCACTGCGGCTGAGGAAGCTCACGAGTCCTTCTGATGGCAAGAGCACGACCCAAATCACAGCAACAAGCAGTTGATCCAGAACCGCGGACGGCTAGAACTTCCCTTGGAGCACCCCTCGCGAAGAAGGACGCGAACCAGTGCACCTGCTCGAACGATGTGCCACTTCACGGCGTACTGAACTCCGAGGCGAGCTGTTCCAGTTAATGCTTGGCTCCTGGATGCTCCTGCGTGCTCTTCTGCTGGTGATTGGCAGAGAGTCCAGTGGCGACATTGTACATAGATGGGTGACCATGGCAGACGTTTTGGAAGGGAGCTCGACCAAGTCGAGATTCCAGCGATCCTTGCAGAGATTGCAACTTAGAGCCTGCGACAACAAGCAAAGCATGATAGAGCTGGGCAGTGGTTTTCCTTCTTCGTGCTGTTGGTCGGCGAGCCTTTGGGCCCAAGTACAAGCCAACTTTCGCAGCTCTTTTCCAAGAACCCCACGTGAACAGTCTAGTCGCACCACATTACGCTGCCAATGCAGCAGCTTGCACCGCTTGCAGAATAGCACATGAAACTGCCGGAATCGTCGCCCGCACTATGGGCAAATTAGGCATCCGAAGCTGGCTTGTAACAAGTACTGTATTCGTATTAATCAGTATTAGTTTTTGTATTCGTAATAATATTTCAAAATTTAAAAATGAAAGTTCTTATTGTTAAAGTTCTTGCACCTGCGCAATCGCACCACTCTTCCTACACCCAGGAAAACGGGCGGCCAACAGAGGCCCGAAGCGGCCGAGCCCTGTGGCCACTTGGCAGAACGCAGCGACATGTTGCAAATTACGGTGACTCGGGATCCATCTCACCCTTTGGTTTTAGGGTTCAGGGTTTTAGGGTTTAGGGTTTAGGGCCTTAGGGTTTGAGTAGGGTTCAGGGCTTCAGGGGTTTAGGTTTTAGACCGGATGCAAAAGGGTTTGGGGCCTTAGGGTTTAGGGCCCTCCTCCTCACGAATTGACGCTAAGGACCAGGCCAAGGCGGCCAAGGATGCAGGACGGCCTGGGAGTTTCCGAAAAATAGAGGGGGTACCCAAAAATGCGGTTCTTTTATAATAAGGATCCTACTATTTAGGGTAACTATATTAAGGTCCCCTATTTTCGGGAACCCCCATATCATTTTTTGAAGAGACCCTGCTTGAGTCTCGCAGGCCGCTGCGATGAGGCCATCGAGTTGCTGCGCGCTGCTCTAGCTGGCCGGGGAGCACAGGTGGAGGTACGCAACTGTCAGCTTGTTTCGGCTTTAGGATTTAGGGTTTAGGGTTTAGGGTTTCTTTCTGTTTGCCGCGGAACGATCTTTCGCGAGCGCAGGTCGCAAAGTACGAGCTTGCCTTGCTTCTCTCACAGCTTGGCCGGCACGAGGCTGATCTCCCTTGAGACGTCGCCAAAGCCGCGGTTGAACACTTCGTGGCTGTTCCCCAAGTCAAGAGTTCCCCGAAGGAGGCAGATACCTGGCTGCGACAGCTTGGCTTGACTTGGAAGCCACTGGACTCAGCACGCAGCAAGGTCAGAGTCAAGGCAAACCTTTCGAAGGAGAAGGATTTTGAGTGGACAAGACATGCGACGTGCCTTCTCTCGGGGACCCTATCTTTTTAGGCCCTTTTTTTTTTTTGGAGTGGCCTCTCCTATCGGTGCAGCCGTTTTTCTGGTCCTCGATCAGGCTGTGCCCGTCCGTGCTGGACGGGAGCTGCCTCAAGGGCCCAACATGTCGAGGCTGGAGTTTCTCAGCTCCGGACGCGTGGGCTTAGTGGGCTTAGGGTTTAAGGTTTGGGGTTTAGGGCTTCTAAGCATTAAGACACGTCCTGCATGCAGATAAAGCAGAAAAGTACCGACGAAATAAAGTCACTAACAAGAAGAGTAGTCGGAACCACCCTGATGATGAGACTGCGCTGGTGGAGGCGAAGCCAACTTAGTCGCCGCCTTTGACGATGTGCTGCCGTCCGAGCTTCTGCGCTTGGTCCAAGACCGCCGCGTGATCCTGCATGAGTTCTACATATATATATATATATGGTTATATGGTTATATGGTTATATATATATATATATACATATACATAGATATACACTCTCTCAAGGCATCTAGACGTAACTGTGACTGGCATCTACCATGTACACTTCAAGGTTCCAATTGAAACCTCTTTCTCGCTCTCTCTCTCTCTCTCTCTCTCCCCCTCTCTCTCTCTATAGATAGATATATATATATACACAGAATAATGCAGTATACATGCTTGCCTACCCGATGCTGACCTCATCACAGCGCAGGATGCTTTCAGAGCAGGATCCCCATTTTGGAAAGAGCCGCTTGGACGTGTTGGGCCCGTGGTTCATTGATGTTCCTGGCCTAGTGATGACCAAGGGCAGCCGACTGGCTTTGGGTGTGAAGTCATACTGGGCCAAGGCACAAATATCCCACTCCCAGTTTCTTCTCCTACAATGAGCCTCTGATGCCGGTTGCTGGTCTGCAGACGGCAGCTGTGCACCACTCGCAAGTCGTCAGCATCTCATTCAGACAGGGCGTCGTGTTGTGCACTGCCAGCAGGATTGCGCCGCTGCGACAGGGGCCCCGCTAATCCGGGCCGTGGCATCGCGCGTAAAAAGCCTGGCTGTGGCCAGCTTCCCTTCGATCTTCGGTACCGAAGGCCGTGGGGGCAGGGCATAGTGGCATGAGAAGAGCAAGCCTGCTTGTGATATTGGTTCTACTCTTGACATGTTTTCGACATATATCTTTCGTGTACCCTTCTATACGTATTACTATGTCTGCAGATAGGCAAATAGGCCTTGCGCTCAAGTGCAGGCTGTGAGCGACGGGTCTCCTCGGTTGATGCTCGGCTGAAGATCCTCCGCCCTCATATATATATATATATTACTATATATAGTGGGTTACTGTCCCTTTAAACTTATTAAGCCCTGTTCTTTGGCTTTCAGCCCTAGAGCTGAGGAGTGGTGGGCTCACACGCGCCCTGCAGGATCCGGCAGTGGCCACCAGCCTGGGGCCCAAGATTCTCTTGGGGAAAGGGCCTTGGGGGGGATCTTTAGGGGCTCCGAGGGGCTCCGAGGCTGCATTACGACCTGGACGAGGTGAGCCTTCCCACCTTGAAGGTGCTTAGCTGAAGCTAGGTGCCGAAATATAGCATCTGACTAGTGTGGACGTGTTCATTGAAGGAGGGATCCCTTCCGCATCACCCGCTGGTGTCCTGCGTTCTGTACCTCAGCTGCTGCTCGGCGGCCAAAGCTCCCGACAATTGAACATTCCCATGCTTGAGAGTACACGTATGTGCCCCCGTGCACATATACTAACATTCCTGCGTGCAGATACATGGTCCACATGCCTGGAAGCACATGTACGAGCCCCCCGCACACACAGCAGCGCATAAGAACGCGTTGACCTTCGAGGGTTATTTGAGAATGCGAAGCAGTGCAGACTCTTGTAGTATTTTCCCTATCAAACGTGCCTTAATCACAGTGTATGGAAGAGACAGGCGAGTCGTGAAAGCGTGTCAAACGGGCATCATTGCATCTGGCGGTGTGCACAGCAGAGCTTGCCATGTCTGAACACCGTACATACAAACGTGATCGTAATTGCCGTGTGCATGACACGCAAAGAACCTTGCTGTAAGCCCGAGGTGGAGCAAACAGTTCCAGCGAAAGGCAGCAGCAGCTCATGTAACCGCATGTCGTTTAGTATGTGCACTGGCAAATAGAAACCTGAAGGCCAGACCATGGCCGGTAGCATGATGTACGCAAGCCTTTTTGAGGCTATGTGTGATTGGACAGATGCATTTGTGCCAAGCAGAGCCTGTCAGGAATAGACCTACAGGTCGGTATACATCCACGGGCAACAAGACATCCAGAATGGTTAAGAAGCTAACAACCTCGCCTTCCAGAATTTACAACCAAACATAAGAGAAGACCAGTAGCTACCATCAGCTGAGCGAGACACAGGCAGTAGAATCATTACGCCAATATCCGTAGCATGCAGCAGTAGTGCGTAGCCTGTGCGCATCGCGCGACACTTCATTGAATGGCGATGTGTTTGCACAGAACAGTATACGTAATGCAACGTGTTCATTCGAACAGGTGCAACATAAATCACGCACTAGCATGGAATGTGTGTACACACACGGGTGCGCACATTCATACAGAGATCCATACATATGTGCAGTCATGCATGCATGCACACTTGCTGACTACATGCATGCTTGCATGGTTGGATGCATGCATTCATAAGGAGGTACAGGCGCCTACATGAGTATAAAGCCATGGAAGAGCACCTACCTGCACATTTTATGTTCGCCATGCATCTCCTTGCACACGCACGGGCAGCGTTGTTAGGTGGCAGTGCAAGCACAGCTTCCACCACTATCGCACCGTGGCAAAAGATAGCTTGGTCGAGTGGCTACATATCTGAGCTGGTCTGGAGAGACTGGCTACTGAAGCTGGGCCATCTGTAACAGCCATCCTGAGCACTGGAAGGTTACAGATCAGACGCTGAACCCTGGCAGTCGTGCGAGGAGGGCATGGCTGTGCGAGCCCAGAGTCAATCGAGCACCTCAGCTGCGCATGACATCCTTGCGGTATCGAGCGAAAGCTCCCCTTGGTGTGACGCGGAGGTTCTACTCTTTGACGGGGGCCTGCTGCATGGCGTCATCCCCAACATTGCCTTGCAGGCAATGCTTAATTAGCCAATTCCCTGGGTCAAGCTGTAATAAGATCTTGCATCCGCAGGCAGACGACCCTGCGGAACCACGCGACCCACGTGCTACACTGATGTTGGGCCTCTGGGGTGAGCAGGGGCCATGTGGCTCCTCTGGCCGAACGAGTTGTCGATGACACTTGCGATCTGCTTACCAGCAGTCCTGTGAAGGTTCGCCGGCTCCATCTCCGACACAGCCGCTGGGCAGCTCGCCTGGAAATTAGGAGCCAGTATTCATGTTGAGTCTATTGCCGTGGCCTGGGGGGAGCTGAGGTCCCAACATGCCGCTCAGACGGAATCAAAAGCAGCCAACTCCGAAATGAGCTAGAGTGTCTTGGCAGAGTCTGAGGCAACTACCACAAGGAGCTTCCTGGCCAGAGTTGCTGCGAACGGCGACAGCAGAGGTCAGCGATGTGATCTCGGGCGCATTTGTGTTGCGAATCGCACTTCTGCCCCGGAGAAGCAAAACTCAATCGGATGGCCAGGCCCCGGCCACCGCCACGCCGGCTGACCTCGCGGGCCCCGTGCAGCCTGTTTGGTGCCCAACGGGAGCTTCTGGAGCCACTGACCTCGGTGTGGAGTTCATCGGACGATGGTTCCTGAGCCATGTGCCTCGGCCTGCACCACAGTCCACTGGCATCTCAAGCCCATGCATCTCGGCCTTCGGCAGGACCCCGAAGGCTTGCAGCGCATGGTGGGCGGCACCGGCCAAATTGACGTCGAGGCGCATGCGTCTCAGAGGCTGAGGCGCCGGAAAATGATCTGTCTTTGATCGTGTCAGGAGGTGTCGATGGAGGAGTTGCAACAGTTACGTGCTCTCGCAGAAAATGTAAAAAGCGAGTTTATGCACCCGACAAGTGGCATTCTCGACTGCTTGAGACTTGTCTGCACCCACAGCATTGGGGACTTGTCCTCGAAATGCGCTACACTCGGCCTCAGGCCACCCATCGATCCACAGACACGGGCGCCGACAGGTGGGCAGATGCTTTTCGACATCACCTCCCGATGTGACTCGTGAGAGGGTATAGCACTTTGAGTGCAGGACTGCGAAGCTTGGTCGTGAATGAGGCGCCTTGCTTGAAACGTTTAGACTCCCTTAAACCCCTGCTGAAACGTGACAGAAACCCTGAACCCTAAACCCTGTTGACCATGAGCCTTGCCTGCTGCGTGCGAGTGTGAGTGTCGGAAACCCTGTTGAAACATGAGAGACTGCGACATGACCCGAGGACCCTCGGATGGTGGCAGTACCGCAGTTTCTGAGCCCAGAGGAGTGCCTGCCCCATATCGCTGGCCAGCTCTGAAACCTGGGGGTTTCCGAAAATATG